AGAGAGCGCGAGAGAAGGGGAAGAGAGAGAGAGAGAGAGAGAGAGAGAGAGAGAGAGAGAGAGAGAGAGAGAGGGCGAGAGAGCGAGAGAGAGAGAAGACGTACATGATAACATATATACACGTCTTCATACTTGATAGCGATAGCTTAGTAGGCTACGTATACGTTGATTATAATATTCTTGCTTGTCTTCAGGCTCCCACTTATTCAAGGCGCTGCCTCGTCATTTATACCGCCGGTAGTTGCTTTAATGGAGCTTGAGGAGTGGAAGTGCCCAGACAACTGTACGTCAGTAATACTTTATTTACGCTTAGCTAACTAGAATTCTTACTATGCCACTAGGCTATCCACGCTTCAACAGCTATGAACAGCGCTATAGACTTGAGTCGAAGCGCTATATAAATAACATGCATGTATTGTGCACGTATGTATTGTGCTCGTTCTGGTACCCATGCTCTGCACCGGGTATTGACGCATATCTGTTATCATTTTATTATGTAACAGTATGCTTGATGTAACATTCAGGGTCGCTAGCGCTGAGTCCAGAAGAACAAAACGATCTGTCCCTCGTCAGATTGAGAGAGGTTGGAATGTCTTTTTGCTATTTAACGCCGTAAAGATTGTATTTTTGCTATTTAGCGGCATCATTTTTTGCTCGTTATCATTTAAGGATATTTGCGTTAGCTTAGTACAATTTTGATTCTAGATTAGCGGCGCGTTTATGGCGGCGTCTGCCATCCAAGTTCTCATCGGATTGACCGGCGTCATGGGGTTTTGCATGAGATTCATCGGTCCACTGACAATAGCACCCTCTGTGGCGCTCATTGGTATAAACATCTATGGTGTCATCAACAAGATGTGCTCCAAACACTGGGGCATAGCAATCTTGTGAGTCTTGTCTTTGTTTTGTTTTTTACATTCTAGCACAATCAAATTAAGTAGGTTCACTTCAATTCGGCACGGAGCGTGTATATAATCTGCAATTTCGGACATTAACCATTCAGGTTTGTGTTCGGATTTTTATACTGACGTATACTGTCTTATAACCTAAATGTGTGAAATACAGTACAAGGGCCCGGTGCGTGACAACTGTGTCAGATATGATTAAAAACTTACGATCCACGTAAATTAGAAAAATACATAACAGGCGGTGGTGCCCGGTGGGCGGGCGTAGTCACATAGTCATATAGGGCGTGTACATACGTAACGTTGAAGTAGAATACATACGACCAACCTGCTGGGCACATTAGGCTGTTGCCTAATTAAATTTCTGCGAATTAGAGCACACGCTGTTACAGCATGCAGTGCTATTAGGCGTATTCCTTGTCATTGTTACGCGTAAAAGTACAGGGAACCTGTAGTAACATCTAACCAGTAGGTGGCGCACCATGCCACGCAGGTTATACGCGTCAACGGGGACACCCCAATCACTATAACTCACGAGTGAAACGTGAGACAGAAATTCTACCACTGTTTATGTGAGTTTATTATCGTGTATAGTTTATGAACTTTTGAAACCACACAGTACACCGTCCGACACGGCACAGCCGCGTAAAAATGGGCAAGCAGAATCATTGCAGAATCATAACACCATTATCGCGCGTATAAAACAGAAAATATAATAAACAATAGAGAAAAAATAATGATAAAAAGTGATAAGTAAGTATGCGAAGTGATAACTGCAAGCATCTCCAGATATACTAATTTAAGTTGCATATCATGACAAATGCGCGTTCGTAGATTAGCTCCACTCATAGACGAAGAAGTTGAACTAATACTGGAAAATACGTTGATTGATTTACGTTTGGTTGTTTTCAGGCTCCCACTTATTCAAGGCGCTGCCTCGTCATTCATACCACCGATAGCTGGTTTAATGAAGCTTGAGGAGTGGAAGTGTCCAGACAACTGTACGTCAGTAATATTAAATCTGTGTTGCATTGCACATTGCAAGAACAAATATATCGTGCAAGAGTTCTCTTTACTTCCAATAAGGCTAGCATTATTCGTCCTATATGTACGAGGTACAGGATTGAAATCGTGTTATGGCTATGTATAGTATGGTGCTTCTGCTCTGTAGCAATTGATGACGGAGATCTGTTATCATTTTATGTAACAGTATGCTTGCTGTAACGTTCAGGGACGCTAGCGCTGAGCCCAGAAGAACAAAACGATCTGTCCATCGTCAGGTTGAGAGAGGTTAGAATATCTATCGCTTTTCCATGTCTACTCTTTATTGTATATACTATAATTTCCCTTTCGAAATACAGTTGTTCCCGTTTCATCGTAACAGGCAGAGAACCATGAAAAATGTCGTTTAAGCGACGTGCCAGTTTATCCAAGACCCTATAAAGCGGGGCGCATTAGGTTTGCATTTACTTAGTAAGGTCTTGCTTAGTAAGGTCTTGCTTAGTAAGGTCATTTGCTTAGTAAGGTCTTGACTCTAGGTTAGCGGTGCGTTCATGGCGGCGTCTGCCATCCAAGTTCTCATCGGATTGACCGGCGTCATGGGGTTTTGCATGAGATTCATCGGTCCACTGACAATAGCGCCATCTGTGGCGCTTATTGGTATAAACATCTATGGTGTCATCAACAACATGTGCTCCAAACACTGGGGCATAGCAATCTTGTAAGTAATGTCTTTTTACAGAAGCATCTTTAATTTAAACATATATATAACACGCGCGCACCGGCACACACACACACACACACACACACACACACACACACACACACACAC